ATAGACATTTCCTTTTCTTTATGCATTAGTATAACAACCTGGAGGAAATTACAGCTATAGCTTTCATGGGAAAATATTTTTTTTAAAGAGTAACTTAACAGTGCAGAAGACCAAGAAGTCAGAAGTGTGAATCTTGGATCTTATTCAATCATGCACCAAAAAACGTCCTCCATACAAGGCGCTTTAGTTTAAAGATGTGTCATAGAAACTGAGCTGAAAAGCAAAACCTGGTAAACTAATCTCAGGAATGTTGGTTTATTACCCACCGTAGTTTCTGGTTATACTGCTTGACTTTTTCTAGTGAGGCGGCATTAATCTGAGCTTGAAATTCTTCTACTGAAACACTGTCTCTGTAATAATATCCTTCCATGCTCTCCAATGCTGTGAAAAGAGAAAGGAGAATGGAGAAGAGAAAAATCAGTATTAAGTATGTAGTATTCGCCTTCTTTGTAGCTTTTTCACACACTAGTGAATTACTTTTTAACCTTGAGGCTGTGACCCCACTGTGGATTGCTGAGCTGCTTGCATATGTCATCAAATTCATACAGATCTCTCTTTAAGATTTCATTTACAAGAAAAATTATATTTCTTGCCCTGTGGAAAATATAAAGGGAAGCACCAGCTTGAGTTCCATTGCTTTAATTAAAGTACTCCTGCCCTGTGAATGTAAATGTGGTTTTTAGTTCTGATATATCCTGGAAAAAAAAAAAAGTAGAATGAGTTGGGGTAAGGGAAAGAAAGGATTAACATACCAGCTACTTTTACAGAGGGAGACCTAACAACTTCTTGTGAAGCCCAATTTTGGGAGATGTGGAGCACTGGAACCTCTAGTTGCTCCCACTGATAACATGAATGCTGCCTTCTGCATCAAGTAAAGCCAAAGTCTCTGGATCTCTGAAAATGCCTTATAAGCTCCTTTTCAGGGGTCAGGTAAGTTTATAAAGTCAAATACTTGACTGTGTCCACCCTTGTCATATTCACTTCACCAAAGCAAGAATGCTCCAAGAATCACAGAATCATCTAGTCTGGAAGAGACCTTCGGGATCATCGAGTCCAACCATCTACCCTACTCTAATGTTCTCCCCTACACCATATCCCCCAACTCCACATCTAAACGGTTCTTAAACACAGCCAGGGATGGTGACTCCACCACCTCCCTGGGCAGCCTGTTCCAATGCCCGACCACTCTCTCTGTGAAGAATTGTTTCCTAACTCAGGAACTAAACAAAGACTTCCATTAAAGGAAGGATCATACGTCCTTCTCATACAATCATCGCACAGAAATTAAAAGGAGGAAAAAATGAAGGCACTACCATTCCATTTTGGGATACTCTTCCTAGCAATAGTTTTCAGAAGAAGAACACTCCCCCAGCCCCTTTAATTTAGATACTCAGGGAAGTTTAACCTTTTCTTTAGGTAAGTCAAATCAAGTGTCTGAAAGGTTCTGAAGAAAATTTGGACTGGAAAAACCAAGTTCTACACATTTAGAGGCTAACCTTTTTTATAACATAAAATATAGGTTCTTAGGGAAAACATAGGTTTTATGGGGGAGAAGTATTAAAGATTTTACAATTAGGAATATTGCCACTTTAATAGTCCATACACATTTTAAGAATTCATCACGCTATCAGAAAATGCAAGCAATAAGCAGAGTTCTGATGGAAACATGCTGCTGTCTTACAGCTTCAGCTGCGCACAGAATATTAATTCTGCCTGTACTGCTTAATATGACCAGTTAATAAATAATTCATTCATTGTGAAAGAACATGCAAATTGCACTCCCCTTCTGCGCTTTCAGAGTTTGTAATTCTACTTCTGTGCGAAAAATATTAAATTTCAACAGTCAAACTTGCTTCTTAACCTCCTTGGTGCTAAGTCACACCAGAAAGCCAGCACAAAAATATCTGCTGAACTCCATTTATAACAGCACGTTAGTGCAGACAGAGCTGATAATCCGTACTGCTTATTTTACTGGCACAAAGTTGGTTTTAACCAATTAGATTATCCAACCAGGAAGCTCAGTCATGTGTCGGGACCGGCTGGAGTAGTCAGTTCTGCCTCCACAGGCACCACAGGGGCCACGCTCATGGGTGCTGGCAGGAAAACCCACAGTGTGTGCTCTGCCTCCCCCTTTTTTTGAAGGGTTTAACATTCTTTTCTACCTCATTTATTAGAAAGCTCTTTGGTAAGGAAGCTTTCCTGTCAAACATGTCTTCTGTGGTATTCTTGAATCCAAGGCAGGATATTTTAGTCTGAATGCTGACATAATGAATGGGAAAAAAACCCTGGAAGGATGAGTAGGCTCAAAGGGTAGTGGCTAATGGGACATGGTCTACCTGGGGGCCCATCACAAGCAGAACACCACAGAGATCTACACTGTTCAACATCTTTATCATCGACCTGTAGGAGGAAAATCCAGCCGGCAGCTAATACCAAACTGAGAGAAGCAGTGGGTATACTGAAGTGCAAAGCCACCTAGAAAGGGACCCAGATAGGCCCTAGAATGGGCCAGCAGGAACCTTGTGAAACTAAACAAGGACCAAGGTCAAGTCCTGCATCTGGGAAGGTACAGCCTGAAGAGTGGCTCTGTTGAGAAGGACCTTGGGCTCATGTTAGACAGCAAGCTGAACATGAGCCTGCAGTGTTCTCTAGCAACCGAGAAGGCCAAGAGCATCCTAAACTGTATTAGCATAAGCATGGGCAGTAGACTGAAAGAAGCATTTGTCCTCAGTTTACTCAATGCTTATTAGATAGCATCTTGAATAATGTGTTTAGTTTTGGGCCCCACAGTACAGGAAAGCTGTTGCTCAAGTGGAAGGAGTTGAGTAACGTGGTCATGGGCCACCAAGATGGTCATGGGGTGGAGCCCACGCTCTGCGAGGAGAAGCTGAGGGACCTGAGTTTGTTCAGCCTGTACAAGTGATGGCTTTGGAGGGGACCAACTACCCAGGTGCCATTAGCTACCAGGAGGTCAATGAGAAGACAGAGCCAGGCTCCTCACAATGGTGCATACTGGCAGGACAAAAGGTATTGGACATAAACTTCACCATTAGAGCAGTCAAGTAGAGGAATAGGTTACCCAAGACATTGTGTAGTTTCTGTCTTTGAGTGTTTTCAAGATCCTACTTGATAAACACCCAGGCAACTTGGTCTGATGTGACAGCTGACACTGCTATGAGCAGGAGGTTGGGCTAGAGACATCTTGAGGTCCCTTCCAATCTGAATTATTGTAGGATTCTATAAGAAACTGAAAAATTTTAAAACCCTACATAATTAAGAGACTAAGTAGCAATTTTAAATAAATTGAATTTTAATTATAAACAAAGCAGTTTTTAACCAAGCTTATTTGTTGCTGAGATCTCAATCTGAATGCCAAGAGCAATATCTCAACATTCTCAAACCCCAGTCCAGCAAGTCAGGATCCTTCTGAACGTATACAGTTAAGTATATGGCTGCACAAAACTGTTTTTACAACTGGAGGGATAGATAATATAGCCTGGGTAAACACTTTAAAACTTTTAAAAATTTCTACAGCCCCAATGCTGCAAATATATAAACTTGTAATTTTAGGCAGGGAGCTATGCAACACAGAGATAAACAGACTGACCTGCAATGACTACAGCCTTTGATAAAATATTATAAAATCATGGTTTTCTAAGTGTCCCATTTGAAAACATCACAAACCATTGTATTTTAGGCAGGAAACAGCTTAGCTCTATTAAGCTTGGGAAGCAAGAATTCACTCCACAGAGGAACTTACAGAAGATTTCTACTTTTGTAGCTAATAAATTTCAGTTAAAGATGGGAATCTACTGAGTTTGATGGCAGCTCAGCCTAACCTTAGAAGAAAGAAGTGAAAAATAGAATCTAAAGTCACTCAGTGATGAGGAAAAAAAACAACAACAAAATAATGATTTAAATACTAGGATTTAACTTCTTATCCAGGAGTTCCTATTCTTGGAGTCTAGTGGACTATTCTGGAGAGAGATCCTTGAAAATTAAAGAAATTTGGAATGATACAGAAAGAAGAAATCATCTATATTACTGGAAATTATTAAGCAAATGTAACACTTGAATCTTTGCCCTTTCGCTTTAGCTGACTAAAAAGATGCTTATCCTAAGACTCAAATATTTTGGGCTTCTGGAAACAGAAAGGGAAAAAAAAAATCTGCAAAATAAATTCTGTAGCACACTGTATCCCACAAAATCTAAAAAAAAATAATATTAGTATCCCAGGATTTCATCTGAGCCAAGGTATTTTCTGTTTTCTTTCCTGTGCCTTTTTGTCTGCTCTACTGCAATGTGTCTCCTGTTCAGTGTTCTCGTTTTCCTCTAGGACTAAAATCAATATATTCAAAAGAAATCCACTGAATCTTTATTAGTTTGTTTAAAAATCAGACTTCAGGGATCTTATTTTCTAAAAAAAAAAAAAAAAAAAAAAAAGTGTTTTAAGTTTACAGTAAGTTTGGCTATTTCTTCATGCATCTTACTGTTTGCTACTTCCTTTCACATTCTCATCTGCCAGGGACCAAGCCCTCCTCAAAACCTTCATTCGTGTGCCTGATTTCTGCTTCGTAACTAATAGATTATTTTGTATTCCAGAAATTTTGTCTTTATGTTCACCTCTTAATGGACTATTTACTGAAACATAGAGCCGCATAAGAAATTAGGTAAATATGGTCTGCAAAATCAGATCATAAAGTTTAGCAATTCTGATACTCCACTTGTGATCAAATAGACATTTCCTTTTCTTTATGCATTAGTATAACAACCTGGAGGAAATTACAGCTATAGCTTTCATGGGAAAATATTTTTTTTAAAGAGTAACTTAACAGTGCAGAAGACCAAGAAGTCAGAAGTGTGAATCTTGGATCTTATTCAATCATGCACCAAAAAACGTCCTCCATACAAGGCGCTTTAGTTTAAAGATGTGTCATAGAAACTGAGCTGAAAAGCAAAACCTGGTAAACTAATCTCAGGAATGTTGGTTTATTACCCACCGTAGTTTCTGGTTATACTGCTTGACTTTTTCTAGTGAGGCGGCATTAATCTGAGCTTGAAATTCTTCTACTGAAACACTGTCTCTGTAATAATATCCTTCCATGCTCTCCAATGCTGTGAAAAGAGAAAGGAGAATGGAGAAGAGAAAAATCAGTATTAAGTATGTAGTATTCGCCTTCTTTGTAGCTTTTTCACACACTAGTGAATTACTTTTTAACCTTGAGGCTGTGACCCCACTGTGGATTGCTGAGCTGCTTGCATATGTCATCAAATTCATACAGATCTCTCTTTAAGATTTCATTTACAAGAAAAATTATATTTCTTGCCCTGTGGAAAATATAAAGGGAAGCACCAGCTTGAGTTCCATTGCTTTAATTAAAGTACTCCTGCCCTGTGAATGTAAATGTGGTTTTTAGTTCTGATATATCCTGGAAAAAAAAAAAAGTAGAATGAGTTGGGGTAAGGGAAAGAAAGGATTAACATACCAGCTACTTTTACAGAGGGAGACCTAACAACTTCTTGTGAAGCCCAATTTTGGGAGATGTGGAGCACTGGAACCTCTAGTTGCTCCCACTGATAACATGAATGCTGCCTTCTGCATCAAGTAAAGCCAAAGTCTCTGGATCTCTGAAAATGCCTTATAAGCTCCTTTTCAGGGGTCAGGTAAGTTTATAAAGTCAAATACTTGACTGTGTCCACCCTTGTCATATTCACTTCACCAAAGCAAGAATGCTCCAAGAATCACAGAATCATCTAGTCTGGAAGAGACCTTCGGGATCATCGAGTCCAACCATCTACCCTACTCTAAAGTTCTCCCCTACACCATATCCCCCAACACCACATCTAAACGGTTCTTAAACACAGCCAG